CAAACGTCCAAGGTGCGCAATACACCTCGATGCCCAATTCAGCCGGTGACCGTTTCCATAACCGGAAAGGTGTGGGTGTAGTTCGTAGGCCTCCTCTTGGTTGGTTTGAAAACAGAGTTTTTGGCCAACTCCCCTAGGTGAACTGCCAGTGGTCCATCAACTTGGTTATAGCCCCGGATGTCGGCTTTTCTTCCTCTCACTTTGGTGAGAAAACACCGCCACGGGAAGGCAGTGAGCAGGGCTTTCTCAGTAGAGGCTATTCGAGACACTTGGTCGTATGGGAGGGTTTCGTGAGGTGCAAGGTAAGGGTGATCAGCCCCAACCCTAGATACCCACCCCCAACCATACTGAGGACTTCGGAGGCGGGACCAGTTATTGCTCATCATCTTTTACCAACATCATCATCGTACAGCAAAATGCAGAGAAGCGAACTTCGCTGATCGCTGCCAAACTCGCAATATACATTGGAGTTTGATGGACGGGTACTGCTAGGGTGTCCAGCCGCTGATCAGGAGAACGATTAGGGTTCGCGTCCGAAGCCCTTAGTTCTGACAAGAACCTCGCCATAAGGCAACAGGTAAAGCGAAGTGGATGCCCATTTACTTCGATCAGTGACTACCCCACCATTTTTTACCGACTGAAACGCAAATTCTAGCCGAACCCCCAACCTGAAGGACCAGGAGACTGGATTTCGTCAGACCTCTACCCTTCGACCTTCCAGGCATGATTAGATCCGCGGCTTGGCAAGAGTCATCCTGTGTAGCTCGTTGAGTCAGTGAGGTTCACAAGCCATCAAACACCACATCAAGGTGCAGTCTCATCGTGATGGGACCATAAAACGGGTTTGCTCTTCGAGTCTCGGACACACACGCACACACCCCAGTGTTGAGTTCGAATGAAAATGGAACTCGAGTCCAGAGCTTTCACGACTGTCGATTTGGCCGGATCAACTGAGAGTTGTTTGTGAAGACAAGATAATTTCGGGGAGAGTAAATGAAAGTGTTTCATTATCCCACACCATGGCTCACGAATAACTCAGTGAAAAGGGGATCATATCATAATGCAAACCTTACATGCAATTGCTTGCAGTCATTTGTTTTCCCCCCACACATTTCTGTCTGTAATCAATGGTTTATTCACTTTCTTGATCACTTCACCTCACATCGAATCGACACCTTTTTTTATTAATCTTCGAATTTCAAGCCACCCGTTCGTTGAGCTTTCTGTTGACTGTTGTTCCATATACACACACACACACACATTCAGGCCCTGGACTTGCAAAAACAAATCGAGGCAATTTCGGTCGAAAGTGTAGAATTCAATCAAACGATCACTCTGTCAGACATCTGTTTCAAACCGCTTGAACCAGACAACATGAATTGTGCAATCACCTCGCCAATGGAATGGTTTCAGAGTAATCAGACCACAATGGATGAAGTGGTAAGTTTTTAACCTTTTCTCATTGTTTCTCACCTCTTCCCCCTCACTCTCACTTCACACACACACACACGATAGGATAGCGAATGATGACTGCAGCTGAATATAGACTTCAGGCAGATCACAGCCGTTGCATTCAGGCCAGTCCGTAATCATTTCGCAATTTTTTCTGGGAGGTTTCCGTTCAGGTTTCTCCAACTCTTCCCCCCCCCACTCCTCTTCCGTATTCAAGAATTATGTCACGAATGGACT